GATTTTAGAAGCAATTTTAATTGGAAACACAGCCGTCAATATTTGGTTTTTAATTCGGTTTTTATTGGGGTTTATATTGTTGTATTTTTGTATTTTTTGTATTTGTGTATAGTATCTGTTTTTTTAAATATGCTGTGAACCGCCCTGAGTCCTATGGGAGAAGGGCGGTATATAAATTAAATTTGAATTGAATTGAATTGAATTGAATCATCTACTAGGACCCCAAGGGCCCTCTCACAGTGACTGTTTTGGATCCAGGTTTTGCCTAATCTGTACTTGTACCTTTGGTTTCTCCTGCCCAGATGTAAAATCTTGCTTTTCCCCACATTGAATATAATTTTGTTGGATAGGGCCCATTGTTCAATGTCAAGATCTTTTTGGATCCTGAGCTTGTCTTCTGGGGTGTCGGCTATTCCTGCCAGCTTAACCAACACCTCAGAAGACAAGCTCAGGATCCAAAAAAATTCAAAGCACTTGAAGCCAGAAAGAAGCAATGGATGGAAACTAATTAAGGAGAGAACCAACCTAGAAGCAAGGAGAAATTTCCTGACAGTGGGAACAATAAATCAGTGGGACAGCTTCTGTCCAGAAGTTGTTGGTGCCCCATCACTGGAGGTTGCAAAGAAAAGGCTGGACAGCCATTGTTCAGAATGGTGTAGGGCCTCCTGCTTGAGCAGGGGGTTGGACTAGAAGACCTCCAAGGTCCCTTCCAGCTCTGCATTCTATTCTGTATGTTGCTATGGGCAAAACACCCTTTAGATTCACACAACACCCAGAACCACATTCTAGCCGTGCAGAGTGGGTCCTACTATTAGGCTAGAGATGGTAACCAGCTTGCTTGTAGCTCAGGGTATTGGGTGAGCTTAGCCTAAAAGTACCAATTTGCCACCCCTTTCAGGATGCCAACCGCGGGCACCTGCAGAGCCATCTCTTCACGCCGAGGGGTAGCATCTGGTCGGTGACTGTGTGAAGGAGGCAGGGAGACAAAATGGCTCCTCACCTGGGACTCATCCGGCAGCTGGTCTCAAGTTACAGGCAACTCCCCGAGGAAGCCGAGACGGCACACGGGGGCCAGGAAGCAAAGCCAGCCGGTCCTCAGCCAGTGGGATTCAGCCAGAAATATCGTGAGGACCCACATTCTTGCAAAATTGTGCTCCTTCCTGCTGTTGAGAGAAAGGGGCTTGGGGAAGAGGTGGTATGAAGCCAGGGTCAAGCACTTCCCCACCCTCTCTTCACCCCCTTCTGCTAAACCAAATTCCCATGAGGGAATTCTGTGAGCTGAAGTCAACACATCTTCAACTTTTTCAAGTTTGTCATGCAAGCTGGGTCCGTCCATCCTTAAATCAGGGGTGGTTATCTAAGGGGCAGCTGGTCGGCTTCACACTTCAAAATTATAAATGGCCACGATGTCATTAGGCCTGAACTGGACAAGGTCTACGATGGCCCAGCGTGATTTCTGTAGTCAGCCAAGAAGAGAACCGCCTGTCCACCAGTGAAGAAGATCCACATCACGGGGAAACCTGTCGTCTCAGTGAAAGGTTGGACAATCATTTGTCTGGAATGGTATAAGCTTTCTGCTTAAGCAGGTGGGGTTGGACTAGAGGACCTCCAAAATCCCTTGCAACTCCGTTATTCCTCCTCTCTCAGGTCTTTTAAGTTGAGGTAAAGGAATGTGTCCCCCAAATCTCCTTCAATAGAGAAATTTGGAGAACGTCTTGCGTGTTCGGTGGTTCAAGGGAATGAAGGTTTTCTCTTGCATAGTGGAGACATCTCTCCAGCTTTCTGTTGAGGAAGGACACCCAGAAATGATTCCTTCCGAAGAGCAGACTGAGATAAATGAATTCAGGGATGAAAAGATGTGTAATACGAATCACCACGACCTCCATCCTCTGCTACCTCCGTTATCAATTTAGCTCTCAAGCTCTAACCAAACAAATGAAGAAATTATGGGAATAAGTAGAAGAACAGAGGCCTCTTCCCACCTTCCTTCAGCTTGGCCATTTAGCTCAGCGTGGCCTTCAATAAGCTTTTGGGCAACCGCCCACCCCAGCACTCCAAATGCTGGAAACGTCAAACCGGTAGTGGCCGCCCGTGTGCTTGACCACCCTCCGATTCTGGAGGAGGAGCAGGGCCGCCACCCACGCAGCGCCCGTCCTTCAGAAGAAAGTCTGTGAGGGAGCGAGAAGTAACCAAATCTGCACTGGGGTCTGTTCCAGGCCTGGCCAGTGTTCAGCTTCAGCCTGTCCTCCTCTGTTGTGGGGCTTCCAGCCGGGGACAGAAGCTACCGAGCGGTCCGTGGGGAGGCCTCTTGGCCTTCGCTGAGCACGGGAGGAACAGGCAGCAGCTGCTGCTTCCCATCCTTGCCAGCAACTGGATCCAAGAGAAGCGGCGAGTTGCAGAGCGGCGAGGAGGATGAGGCTGTGGTTCCAAAGGAAGGGAACCTCGATCTTTCCCCGCCCCCAAAGTATCTTATGAGGACATCATGAAAAAGGAAATATTGCAGACATTTCTATTCTCCAGCCAGAGGAGAGTCAAGGAAAAGAGAAGGGTTGATAGAGGAGGGCCAGGGATGACAGAATAATAGAGTAACAGAGCTGGAAGGAACCTTGGAGGTCTTCTAGTCCAACCCCCTACTCAAGCAGGAGATCCTACACCATTTCAATCTTTCCTCAAAAACCTCCAGTAACGGAGCACCCACAACTTCTGAAGGCAAGCCCTTCCAGGGTTAGGGCCTAAGCCTAACCTTGGGCAGATTGAGGGCTCCGGGACCATAAGCCTGATGAACTCCACTGCCAACCTCCGCACAGCTTGGGCAGGGAGGATGGTTCAGTAGCAACATCCCAACGGATCCTACAAGCCAGTTTTGGGAACGGCCTCACAGCCAGAGATCTGGGATTATGAGGAGAGATTCTGGATGACCACTGCCACCCAACGGCCTTGCCCCAAGGTCTTGGTTGGTGCCAAGCCTTAAATCCAAGTGGACACATCTCCGAGAGGTGGGGCGGGGCACAAAGTAGCTCTCAACCTGGTTTGTGGTTTAGCGTGGGGGAAATAGGCAACCTATTATGGTTTGCTCAAGGAATCAAGCCAACCATGGTTGAATGCAGTCTGTCAACTATCTCTCCAGTTCTCATGGAGATATCACAGGTTGATCTTGCCATGCTGACAAGATGCCAGTAGGCCAGCTAAGTTGCATTCTCACAATCTGATCTACAGAAAACTACAGGTAGTCCTCAAATTGTGACTGTTCAAAGTTGCAACATACCTCCCCAGGGATATTTGTCACCCACTTTGGAGGTTCCGATGGCTGTCCCACCCCCGTGGTCACGATTGCATTTTGGGATGCTGGGCTACTGACTCATATTTATGGCTATTTGTAGCATCTGTGATCATGTTTATATTTTTTGCAGGAAACTTGACATTTATTCTGATTTCTGGAGGGGAAAAAAAAGGCCATGGGCTAAAATGGGTTTGCTTAACGACTGCCACAAAACAGGTTGCAAAATCAGGCGTGGCCATTTTGTGATCCACTTAATGACAGGCATGACTTACAACTGTAATTCCAGCCTCAACTGCGGTCGTAAGCCGACCTCAGAATCCTGGGCCTGATTCCTTTCAGTCCATAGACACATCTCGCAACGCAAAATAATTTGGTCTTTTCGACTGGTTGAGGCTTTAAAACGTTTTGGCGTCATTGATGGGTTTAATTTAATTTCTCCTGTTCTTCAGCAAAACCAGCCAGCCACATTTAAACGAGCACGTTGGGCACACTCTGTTTAATTGTAGAACGCCAGAATGTTGGCACGGGGTACGCCCTTCCTTGTAAACATTGTCTCAAAGAAATCCGGGCACAGTCACAACCGAAACCCATGTGCCACTGCCAGAAATGGCTTGGCCCAGCAACGTAATGGGTCAGGATATCACCTGTTCAGTTTCAACACAGGGAAATGTATGCCTCTCTATATTATTCAGCCTTCCCCTGTCTCGGTGTTTCTCAACCGTGGCAGCTGGAAGATGGGTGGACTTCAGCTATGCTGGCTGGGGAATTCTGGGAGCTGAAGTCCACCCGTCTTCCAGCTGCCACGGTTGAGAAACACTGCTATTTGCTGCTTTCCAGATATGCCAGGTTTCATTTGAGGAAGGCTGCTATAGCATCTTCCCAGAGAAGACCCCCTCCCCAAAAATCTCTCCACCCCAGCCCCCAAACTCTTAACTTCTCAGGCAGCCAAACCAAATGAGTAAAGGTGGGCAGGATCAACAAATTTAATCTGTAAGTTAAGGAGTGGTGTTGGTGGCGATGGTTTTCAATTAAAACAGGCTATTTATATCGTATGTACAAAAAACAGAACCCATATTTTCTTTTTTTTAAAAAAAGGATAGTTTACACCCGTTTCCAACTTTCCTGCATCCCTCGTTTTTTTTTCACCTTGATCTATGTAAATCGAAAGAGTCGAGCAAATTCATCCAGACCTTCAAAATTAAAAAAAAAAAAAAAAAAGGGAGAACTACAAGGTTGAAGGTCCACAAATGCTCCGCAGAGTCTCCTTTGATGGCCAACTCTTGGCCGCTCGCAAGAGGGCGCCGGGACCCCCGTGCTCTGTGCCCCATTTGTTCCGGGCTGCTGGATAGAGAAGGGTCTGAGAGACCCAACAAACTGCCCCCCCTCCAAATCAATCTGTTCCTGCCAGCATTGTGTTTTGGTACACCCACAGTGTGTCTCTCTCAATGGGGTGATGATCAACGTGTTCCTTCTAGTCCCCCACTCTGCGGTAATCAAAGAAAGGGTCCGGCAGTGCCAAATTCATTCATTTTCTTCCTTTCTTCTTCGTAGCGCTAGAGTTCCCGGCACCGGGTTTCAATAGGCCACTGTTTCAGAGTCTCCTGGCGTGGAAAAAAGCACGTGGGCTTTGGCGTTGATGAAATAGGTGGCCACGAATGAGACAATGAGGATAACGAGGCCCAGCACCAGGGTGATGATCTGCAGGGAATCAAAAGGGAGGGAGTCAGGCGTGGAAGGAAGGGAAGGGATCTGAAAGAAGGGGAAATTACAGGTCACCCTCAACTTACAACCATTTATTTAGTGACTGAAGTTATGTCAGCACTGAAAAAAGTGACTTATGACCGGTTTTTACACTCGTGAACACAGCAGCATCCCCGTGGTCGCGTGATTAAGATTCCGATGCTTGGCAACTGGCATGTCTTCATGATGGTTGCAGTGTCCTGGGGTCATGTGATCCCCTTTTGCGATCTTCCCACAAACAAGGTCAATGGGGGAAGCCAGATTCCCTTAACAACTGCATGATTCATTTAACAACTGCAGTAATTCACTTAACAGTGGCAAGAAAGGTCATAAAATGGTGCAAAACTCAGACAGATTGATAGATAGGACAGATAGGTAGGTAGGTAGGAAGGATAGATGATATAGAAATTGATAGATAAAAACAGATGATAGATGAGCAGGGGGTTGGACTAGATGACCTCCAAGGTCCCTTCCAACTTTATCATCATCATTATTATGATAAAGATAGATAATAATAGATAGAAATTGATAATAGATGACAGCTCATGATTGACAGATCATAGTTGATAGAGACTGATAGACGATAGATAATAAGAGACGAGATTGAGGGATGGGTGGATGGATGGATGGATGGCGAGGGTTACACTTCAGCAGGCCAATCAGCCCCCTTTGACGCCTCACCTCCAGCTCTTTGCTGGCGACCAAGAAGATCCGTCCGTGAAGCTCCTTCCAGCGACTCTCCGTCCAGGTGGAAAACTCGGTGGAGCCCCACTCTCGGAGCTCGAAGGCCGGGGAGGAGGCTGGCGTGCGGCGGACAGTCAGCCTGACGCAGAAGGGCTTGCGGGGAGAGCTGGCGTTGGGGTACGGGGAGCCCTGAACCCACATGTAGTCATACAACTGCGGCAAAGAAAACGCAGGCGGAACAGAAGCAGAGCCCAGTTATTAATGTGCTGCTTTGAACATTAAAGCTTTAGCATCAAAGTTTGTGTAACGATTATGCCGATGTCTTGTTGTCGGCTCTATTTTTTATTTTTTTGTACCTCAGCTGTTGAATGGGTATGTTGTTTTTATAGCTATGTTTTTTTTTCCCCTTTCCGTTGTTAGCCACCCAAAGTCATGAATCTGAGAGAGGCGGGTGTATAAGCTGGATAAATGAAATGGAGGAACCAAAGGCGAACGAGGGATGGCTTTGATACGCTGGATTTGCACAAATGGCTCTTTCCCAGATAAGCCCTGAGGGGCTGGGCAGAGGAAGAGACCACTGCTGCGGGGTCAGCTTTCATGACCCCAGGAGGCCTCCACAGCTAGATCTTCACTTACAGCCACTTGTTCAGTGACCATTCAACGTTACGACCACCCTGGGAAAAACGACAGGTGGCCGTTTTTTCACACTTACGACCGTTGCAGCCTCCCCAGGGTCACGTGATCAAAACTTGGATGCTTGGCAACTGACTCGTATTTGTGACGGCTGCCGCGTCCCGGGTCACATGACCCCCTTTTGCTGACAAGCCAAATCCGTGGGGAAGCCAGATTCACCTAAGAACCACCATGTTGCTGACGACTGCAGCGATTCGCTTAACAGCTCTGGCAACGAAGGTCATAAAATGGGGCAAAGCCCACTTTCCAGCGGTCTTACAGAAATCCTGGGCTCAACTGTGGTTGTGGGTCGAGGGCCGCCTGTAACACCCTGAGGTTTACTGGCTCTTATGCTCCACTTTTATGCCGGGAGGCCTCCGTCGGCTTCCAATCAAAACCGCTGAACCGGCTGGGAATCCCCAGTGGATGCCCAATGTTAGGATCGGGGCTAGCTGGGCCCCCGGCTCGCCATACGCTCAGGATCTGTCTCTGTCTGTCTCTGAGGCGGGCAAGCCAGGGACCAAGAACCTCAAAAGGTCACCGAATCCTGTGCAAACGTGCTGGGAGATTAACGGCCCCACCCGAGACCTCCTCCAGATGCCTTCAAAGCTCAGGGGGTGGGGGTGGGGGCACCTGGAAGGGGAAGAGGTGGGCAGCTTTCCCCAGGGTTTCCCCATTAGGTTTCCACCCCCCCCCCCGGGCCGGTTGTTTTCCAGAATTTTTTATCCAGTTTTTTAAAAACAAAAACAAAACAACAACAACAACAACAACAGTGCTTGACTAGAGGACGAGGAGCTCACGTCTTCCTTGGAGGCTCTGCAATGCTCCTTGGTGATGTTGTCCCCGAGGCGGGTCCCAGTCAGGTTGGCCAAGACAGACTGGACCAGGCTGGTGGAGTTGACAGGACTGGAGACCGCGATGTAGTACTGGAGGGGCTCATCGCCTGGGAGGGGGCAGCAAAAAAAGGGGTGGGGGTTCAAAAGGAACCCTCTGGCAGCAGCTTCACCCCTGAGGATCTCTCTCTCATTCTCTCTCTCTCGTTCTCTTTTTCATTTTCTCTTCTTTCTTTCTTTCTCTCTCTCTCTCTCTCTCTCTCTCTCATTCTCTTTTTCATTTTCTCTTTCTCTTTCTCTCTCTCTCTCTCTCTCTCACACACACACACACACACGCCTCACCCAGAGGCCCTTTGAAATCTGGCTTAGTGATGGCCTGGAACCAGGAGTTGTTGGACTGGATCAGGAAACCATACAACATGCGCGTGACCTGGAAGTAAAAGGCAAAACGACAAGCCAGAAAGGTTCAAAGAGCAGCACCTACTAAACTACCCGTAAAATTTTTACTCCTGGTAAAACTTTTAGTCAATGTATTAAAGTTTATTTATTAAATTTAATGGCAAAAGCCATTTGCCCAGGATGCAATTGGGTCTCCTGCCTTGGGCAGGGGTGGACTAGAAGACCTCCAAGGTCCATTCCAGCTCTCAGATTCTACGTTCTACGAGATGCTGCTCCATTAAGTGGCCGTCTGGTTCCCGATGAGATGGGGAAAGGTACTCGGTGTCCCCCCCCCAACACCTGTGGGTTAGGTAACTGCCTCCCCTGGCTTTCGAAGAGGATGGGAGCCTTGGGTCAGAGACGGCCAATGGCCCCTTGTGGCCCAGAGCAGGATTTGAAAAGAGGGTGCGGAACGCCCTTCCCTCAGAGGCCCTTTTCCATGGACTTGGTGGGACCTTCCCTTTTGAGAGGAGGTTGCTGAGTCAGCGGTGAGGAGGTGACCTCCTAGCACCCCGAATGATCAGTCCACATTATTTCCTTGTTACAGAGTGGATATTGAACGTTATATATATTTTGTAATTGTTCTTGTGCATCTCAACCATTGCTCAATTGCAATAGAGTAAATTAATAATCAGATTACTAGATCTCTCAAGAGAAAGGGAGAAAGTCCCATGATTGGTGGGCTTAACATAAAGTGATGGAAGGAGGCAAACAGGAATTCCAGAAAGCAGGAGGGGGGGGGGGAAAGCAGGAATTCCCCTCGGCACCTGGCCTGCCTCTCCAGACTGGTTGAGTGAATTATATCTTGGGCCTAATTCAGAAGCATCTCCTGTAAAGCAGTTGGGAAAGAGCATTTTGCCAGCCAAAAGATCTGGGATTCTTCCATGCTTTTCTCTTTCTTCTCCTTCCTTCCTTCCCTCTCCCTCCCTCCCTCTTTTTTTCTTTCTTTCCTTCCTTCTCATTCTTTCTTTCTCCTTCCTTCCTTTCTTCCCTTCCTTGTTCTTTCTTTCTTCCTTTCTCTTCCTCTCCTTTTCCTTCCTTCTTCTCTTTCTCCTTCCCCCTTCCCCCCCCTTCTTTCCTGACCACCCGTACTATTCCTACAAATAACTCAAAGTGGTGAACATCTCTCAGGCACCTTCCTATTTTCCCTAGAACAACAGCCCCCCACCCTGTGGGGTGTGCTGGGATGAGGGAATGGGCCGGCCCCAACCCTCCAGAGAACCCCTCAGCACCCACCGTTAATGGATCCGCCTGAATTGACGAGGCGTTGCCCCCTCCTCCGGCCATCTTGTAGAGCGTGCGGCCCACCACGGTGGCTACTGCAGCTAAGGACTGGGAGACAGGAAGGAGGATCAAGGCAACCCAGCCAGCCAGACAATCCAAGTTTGCCCCCCCTACCCCGATCCCGCCCTCCCCCGGAGAGACGGGCCCAGCCCACCTTAGCTGTGTCCGTCACGTGATTCAGGGCCTCCTCTGGGGTCAGCCCGGAATAGTTCAGCCGGATGTTCTCGGGGGTGTCGTAGATGCTCTGGTAGTACCTGTGGGAGGGAAGGAGACGATGCGATGGTCTGGGGGGGGCAGGGAGGGGAGGAGGGGTCCTTGAGGGAGCAGGTGTGGGGAGGAGGGGTCCCTTGGGACTGGGAATGAGGGGGGGATGAATTTGGGCTTGGCCAGAAACCCAGCCTCCCCCCAGCCCTTCCTCAAAGCGACGAAGGAGGGCTCGTCACCTTCCTTTATTCGTGGCAGAAGCGTCATTAAAATTTTAATTTTAATTATTGTAATTAACTTGGCTCTTTGGCGGCTTTGCCTGTTTGATGAGCTGAGGCTTTTTATTAGAAAGCAAGGGGGGAGGGGGGGGAAGAGACCTTTGCCAATGACGTCCCCAAATCCGAAAGGGAGGCCAGTCGCACATCCCAGTCAGCGTTTTTCGACCGTGGCGACTTTTAAGATGCCTGGACCTCAACTCCCAGAATCCCCCAGCACGCGGTTCTGACTGGGGAATTCTGGGAGCCGAGGTCCACACATCTTAAAATCGCCAAGGCTGAAAAAATATTGCCGTGGACATACAAGTAATCCTTCACTTAGGACAACTGAGCCCAAAAATTCTGTTGCTAAACAAGACGGTTGTTAAGTGAGTCACTGCAGTTATCAAGTTAGTGACCCAGTTGCTCAGTGAATCCAGCTTCCCCATTGGCTCCTCAGCATGGCAGAAGGTCGCAGAAGGGGATCACGTGACCCCCGGGACGCTGCGACGGTCATAACTATGAGCCAGTGGCCAAGCGCCTGAATTTTGATCATGTGACCCTGGGGAGGCTGCAACAGTCATAAGTGTGAAAAGGGGTCATAAGACACTCTTTTCAGTGCCCTTGTAACACTAGACCAGTGGTTCTCAACCTGTGGGTCGGGACCCCATTTGGGGTCGTTCGACCATTTCACGGGGGTCGCCAAGCAAGGCTGTCCGCCATTTTTTTTGTCCGCCATTTTTTTGTCCGCCATTTTTTCCCCTTTTCCGGCGGGTGCCTTACCTCCCTTGGGCTGGGCCAGCTGGCGGTCGGCCTGCTCCGTCTCTGCCGCTTGCCAGCTACGCCTCGGCCGGCGCAGGGGGCGGAACCACGCATGCACGGCGCTCCTGGGCAGGGAAAGTCCTCGACTTACGACCGGTTGGGTAGTCCTTGACTTACGACCGGTTTAGTCCTTGACTTACGACCGGTTTAGTCCTCAACTTACAATCGGTTGGGGTCGCGGCATTAAAAAGGTTGAGAACCACTGCACTAGACGGTCACTAAGTGAGCTGTTATAGGTCAAGGGCTGCCTGTACGCAGCGGCTGCAACATCTGGATTTCCCCTGGCTCTCTCTCTCTCTCTCACACACACCCCCTTCTCTTCTCCCCCCCCCTTTGCTTTGTTTCCAAGCGGTCCTGGAGGAGCAGATGCTGCCTTCTGGATGCTCGGCTGCTGCTCGCTCAGCCCCGGCCGCCAGCCAGACGCCGGGAACGTCGGCCAGGCCAAAGTGGGTTTTCTCCTGGTTGTCAGAACAATTACGTTGCGCCTCTTTAATTACACGGCACGCGTCTGTCTTCCCTCCGCCTGCCCCCCCCGCAACCAGCGACTGCTACGCTCTTTCCTGCGCGCGCGCACACACACACACACACACACACAAACCCCGGCTTCTGCTCAGCTCCCGGGCTCAGGTCAAAGGGGGTCTGGGCTTCCTCCCTTTGTCAAGTTGCTGAAAAAAGTGACTTAGGACCATTTTTCACACTTATAACCATTTGCAGCATCCCCCCTGATCACGTGATCCAAATTCAGACGCTGGGCAACTGGCATGTACTTATGACGGTTGCAGTGTCCCTGGGGGTGTGTGTGTCACGTGATCCCCTTTGGCAAGCCAAGTCAAGGGGGAAGCCAGATTCCCTTTACAACCATGTTACTAACTTATCAACTGCGCCGATTCACTTAACAACTGAGGCAGGAAAGGTTGCCATCTGGGGTAAAACTCAGCTGCAGAGCAGGGCTCGTCAAACGTGGCTCGTCAAACTTAAAAGTTGCCAAGCCTGGAGACCTCTGGGCTGCAGCCCGTCTGCTGAAGAGGGTCCCTCGTCACCTGTTCTCGAAGTGGGAATAGTGGTCAGCCAGGACCACCCCGGGGATCTGCTGGACCCTCAGGAACCGCTGGAAGGAGGAAGGCGGGAGCGGCTGGCTGACTCCGATTTCACTCATCACCACGCTGGTATTTTCGCTGCTCTTGTTCAAGGCTTCCATCATCTTTTGGATGTTTTGCTAAGGCAGGGGGAGGCCGAGAGGAAAGACAAGTAGCTCAATTATGCAACGAACTTGGAATGCAGCAAGGAAGATCCTTGCAGACATACGTGTCCCAGGATCCAATCTGAGTCGGTGCACGCATTCAGTTTCACAGGTACTAGGTTTGTTGGTCAAGCAGGTACAAAAATAGCCCTAAACATGATTGAAGCCTGGGAAATGGACCCCTTGCCAGTCAATAGGAGTGCTGATTTACTACCAGTTTATGAGGCACGTATCAATGACTTCCTAGCCGGCCATCAACACCCCGATTAACAACCAAAAACCACACACAACCATATAAACACAACGTGTCCATATTCTGGAGAGAGAGAGAGAAGTTCTCTGGGGAGGGCCCAAGTGCAAGCCTGAAAGCCTGGAAGAGTAAACCTCTGGTCCCTGTGACTGACTCAGACTGGATCGTGACATTTTCCTTGCACCCCTTAGCGTCCTTAGCCTGTCCTCTGGGACACTTTACAAATGCTTTAAGGCTTTCGTGGTCACCAAAATGGGCACCCTGAGGGCATCGTGCCGAGACAGAGGGCATCGGCCCACCCAGAGTGGCGCTGAGCACCGCAGAGAGCGCCTCCCAGGCGAGAGTTCTCCAGGGGCAGGAAAGTCCCCCCGGCATTCAGAGGAGAGGATGGCTGCGTCTCCTCAGGGTTCCTTTCGACTAACGAGGAGGCCCAAGGAAGGCTTCCAAAGGGGACTGAGAAAGCAAGAGGGGGCATCTGATGGCTCTTGCCAGGGAGTAGGGATGCAGCCCCGGTCAAGAAACCCGGTCAAGGCCGGGGAGACCGAGGAGAAGGCCACCCTGGCTGGAAGCTGCTAGTGAGGGGCATCAGCTGGACCTGACCAGGAGCAGGAAGGCTTCGGCTTCTGGAGGCCAAAGAGGAAGGCCAGAGGTTCTGGGCGAGGGAGCAAAAGCAGCAGCACCGCACAGGGGACCAAGATCAGGGAGGAAATGGCCTGAGAACAGGAGGGCCTTTGTTGTGTTGTTGTGCTTTTTGCAAGTTGCTCGAGATGGGGAGGAGAGGGAGGAGGACTCTGGGGTCCTTGGAGCTCTCTGAGGTTGGTTGTTTTCTTGTAGACGTTTCATAGCACAACTATGTAACGTTATCAGTGCTAGAAGGGCTTGTGGAGTGGAGGAAGGAAGGAAGGAAGGAGGAAGAGGAAAAGGAGGACTCTGAGCTTGGTGGGTTTTTTTGCAGGCATTTCAGTGCCCAACTAAATAACATCATCAGTGCTGGAAGGGAGGGAGGGAGGGAGGGAGGGGGGATCTGTGGAGGAGGAGGAGGAGGAGGAGATGCTGATCCCTCAGGTGAGGGACACCTGGCAAAAAAAGAAGGCCGGCATCTGTCAACATGTCTGCAGTGACGTGAGGGACAGAACGGACCATGTGGTGTTCAGCAGAGAAGCCAGGGACCTCAGAGCAGAAGCTGGCTGTGCTGGATCAGACCCCTGGCCCACCTAGCCCAGCCATCTGTTCTTGCCGTGGCCAACCAACTGTCCGAGGAAGCCCGCAAGTCTCCCAGCAGATGGCCGTCAGAGGCCGTCCTGCTGCAGCCGAGGCCGAGAGCCATGGATCCATACGGGCCCGTTGGAAGCCAACTTCGGCATCTTCCTTGTGAGCAGGGAAGGAAGGAACCGGCAGCCAGGCCAACGTCCCTACCTCAATCTCGGGGTCCATTCGAG